GCTACACATGGGAGATGTGACCATTGATTTCAATCAAATTTGACATTAGGACATTGCAAAGCATGTTAAAAATGCAAAGCACAAATATTTATCCATAATAAAATTATAAAATAAAACACAGTAAAGAATAAGAAATTAAAATAAATACTTTTTAATTTTAATTATTTTTTTAAATTTCAGAAGTGAATAAAACACAAGTTTACCAACTTAAATAAAAAACAGTCTGTTTTTGAAACTGACATCTGTGCGAGTTGTTCTTTACACATCTCATTGCTACTGACAATGTACAATCGGCCTTTTTGCATGTGAAATGTCACTGAAATTTCACCATAATGACCACACCTTAGAATCTGACAATTTTCATAATGGCAGTGTGTTTATGATGCCTCAAAATGTTGCCTGCGTAGAAGGATTAACCAAATGTTCTGACAGCTAATTGTAATATTTGAAGGATGGATGCTGCAGGATGTCAATATTGGGCAGGAACCTACAGCTGTCACTCAAGTGTTCCCGTACGGCACACAGATCAATCCAGAATTTTACTCCAGGACAGGATCAGACAGCATCCAGACGGCTCTGCTGAACTCAAGCTGGCTGGAATCTGGACGAAAGGACCCCCCGCTAGCTGCATGTGAAAGTAGCTTCAATTAGCTTCAGTAGCTTTTCTAATTAACATCAGTCTTTAGCGCACCAGGTAGAAAGCCCCCTATTACACAGGATAATTAATCTGGAAACCTTGAGTGCCCACAGACTTCAGTGTACCTCCAACACTTAATCCTGTCAATAAAATGTCTCAACTGTAATGGACTATGGGGAAATAAGACTAGGATTCAATATAATTAATGCTAAGTTTAGAAACAGAAAATTTCCACTTGAAGAAAAGATTGAGAAGATATTAGGGCTAAGCGATATAGACATATAGTTATAGATAATGTCAATATCTTTTATTCTTTTGATGACTTTGTTTAAATGTTTCTATTTCAAATAAATGCTGTTCTTTTTAATTTTCTATTAATCAAAGATTCCTGGTAAAAAAAAAGATATCATGGTTTCAACAAATCATTAAACAGCACAACTGTTTTCAATAATAATAACAAGAAATGTTTCTGGAGAACAAAATCAGCATATTAGAATGATTTCTAAAGGATCATGAGACACCAAATATAATATAAATATAATATTTCACACTATTATTGTTTTTACTGTATTTTTATCAAATAAATACAGCCTTTATGCACATAAGAGACTTTCAAAACATCACAAAAATCTTATACATTCCTTATTATAATTTTTTTTTTTTAAATATATATAGGTTATTTGATGAGAAAAAAAAAGAGTGAACCAGATTAACCATTTCAATCAGTCATTGTAGCAAAGAAAGAAATATAATAACTAAATATACTTTTGCTATTTTTCCTGCATTTCTTTTTACAATATCAATATATATAACTATATATATAAAGGATATAAAGGTGGGATATTTTTTTCTAATGAAAGAGTGCATTTCTCATCTTTGTGATTATAAAATAATTGAAGGAAACAAACTATGGTTATTTATTGAATATTTCGAACAATTGAAATCAAAGCATACATTTCTTGAAATGAAAACATCTTATGAAAAAAGTCACATTTCAGTTTTAATGTAAAAAGGATATTTTCACACTAAAAATATGTAAAAAGCATATTTTTACGCAGCTCTGGTTGCTTAGATGCCTCGGTGTTCGAGTTCTATGTTGCTTCCATGCCGCTTACTGGACAGAGTCACGTGACTACACACGCTGTATGTTTTTAAGGGGAAAGTCAGGGTTGCCAGTTCGGGCTGCAGCCACGGGTTGATTATTAGTCTGATTTTTTATTAAAACAATCGCCCTTAATGTGATTTTGAGGATTAACAAAATTATTCTAATTTCCTGCAGACATGAACCTGCATGTAGAATTAATATTCAATTTTTTCGGTATAATGAGTGCATTTCTTTTGGACTGGGTCATAGTATTAATCACAGCATTGGTCTTGAAAGAAGCATTTACGCATGATGAGCAAGGGACCGCCTAAAGCTAACATCGCTTTCATCTTGCAGGAAGAAGTATTGTGGCACAAGACACTCGAAAACGAAGCTGATAGGGGCTTGGTGGGGTCAACGCCTGCCTCTGACTTAGCTCATTTATCGCTGTCGCATCAGCTTAAGTGTCCATCCCCCTGAGTGCCGTCCAATAGACCAATCATATTGCACACGGGAGGAAAACAAAAATGTGAGAAATGGCCACCTGAATAATTGAGGCGAAGGGTGAATTATCTTGAGCAATACTAGCATGCACAGTCTGAGGTAAAATGCCATTTTCCATGAACGATGCCAAAAGTATGTGGAACACAGGACAACAAAAAGCTCAGAGAACTCAATAATATATGGGAATGTCATGTTGTTATGGAAATTGACATCTGGTTGTGTGTTAGGCGGATGGATTTACATCACCAGTATCACTCAATATGGAAAAGTAAATCGATACGTAATAGCTGTGTAATTGCATATGCCACAGGCAGTAAATCACAGGAGAGAGCAACATTTTGTACATAAATTCGATTGGGACGTATCAGCTACTACACGAGTAAACCTTGCACAAATGTACACTATCCTCCTTCCACGTTACACTGAACAAATGCCAGCAGAGAAACTAAATATAACACAAGAAGAGCACTAAGCAGAATACATCTCAGCAGCATTAGCGTGAAGCTAAGAGCCTCTTTAAGTTTTCACAAATGTATGGACGTTTACACAAAGAACATGACATATTAATAAATATGGCTAAAAACTAAGGCTGAAAGCAACTTCAAAAAGCTCCAAGCAGCGAGTAAGTGAAGAATCCTGATGTTTACTTCACTAATGACTCATGCTAGCTAACTCTTACCATTACAAGAATAGACTAGATAAGAACAAAGAGTAAGAAAAATCAATGGAGACAGCTGAGGCATGATGCTGCTTAATGAAGCCTGACGTCTGTTTCCTCTGGTTTCATGGCAAAAATGAAAAATTACAGATTTGTTTGGCAAGCAGCTGGTTGAACAATTTCCGTGACATGGGTGGTTAATGTAAAACATAATGAGATGTGTTATAAAATGCCATTTCAGATTACAGCCTCCTTTGTTTCTCGAGGATATGAGCTAGAGATGTGCATTTGGGTCATTTTGACTGCTCGAGTCCTCCGGGTGAGGTTGGTGGCTAGCTGGTTATGTTCATATGTATCAAGACTGATGTCTCCGGCCACTGCTTCAAGGATTAGTTCACTTCCATAATAAGAAATGCCTGGTTATTTACTCATTCCAATGTCATCCAAGATGTTCATGTCTTTCTTTCCTCAGTCGAAAAGAAATTAAAGTTTTTGAGGAAAACATTTCAGAATTTTTCTCCATGTAGTGGACTTCAACCAAAGTCCCTTTAAGGCAAGTCATGTCACTCGGCGGCCATCTTTGAAACGCCTCTTGGGCATGCAAGTGCAGCTCATATCTCTTTGAATAGGGAAACATCAAGTTCTCCAAAACTGTTCACCAAGCTTATGATTAAATTTCATATTTGAAATCACCAATGATATCTGACAGCAACTGTCTTATAAAAGTTGTTTATGCTGCTCAAATGGCGTTAAAAAAAAGCTTATTTTTTGGGCTAGACCAGCCAGTGCGCATGCAAAGTCCTAAACGCACGTCTCATAATGCTGACTGTTTCTATAGCAACCGGGACTTCTAACGGCAGCTGCAGTGACGCGCTGACTTTACTGATTAGCGATTGGCTCTTTTGCTCAGAAGGCGGGGCTTTGTTCGATAGAGCGGCCATATTGAGTGTTGCATTTTTCCCCATTCAAAACTATACGAGTGACACGTCTTGGGTATTCTATAGTCTTTGACTTCAACAGGGACCAATGGGTTGAAGGCCCAAACTGCAGTTTCAATGCAGCTTCAGAGGGCTCTAAACAATCCCAGCCGAGAAATTAAGGGTCTTATCTAAAGAAACGATCTGTCATTTTTTTTTAAATAAAAAAAATGTATATACTTTTTAACCACAAATGCTTGTCTTGCACTAGCTCGACTTCACTCATTACGTAGCCACGTTGGGAAGATCACGCGTGACATAGGCGGAAGTACTGACTCAGTGTTTACAAAGCGAACGTGCAAAGACTAAATCAAACGCCCTTTACAGAAAAAAGGTAAAACAACGATGTCGGATGATTTTGAAGCTAGAGGAGAAAATCAGATGGAGTTCAATACTACTTCTGCCTACATCACCGTTGGTCCCTGTTGAAGTCAACTATATGGAAAAAAAACCTGGAATGTTTTCCTCAAAAACCTTTTTAATAAACTAAATTTATTTTAGACTGAAGAAAGAAAGACATGAACATCTTGGATGACATGGATGTGAATAAATTATCAGGAAATTTTTATTCTGGAAGTGAACTAATCCTTTCATGTCTCTCACCACAAACAATGTATTTTTAAGTGTGTATTTTTAAGTTAAAAATACTTTTAAAAACTTAATTTACGTCATTTCATCTTTTCATTTCATCTAACACATTTGAGCACTGTTGTGGTCTCAGTGACTGTGTACAGTGTCTTTCCTAACCACAAAGTACAACCTAAACGCCCCTTAAATAACCAAGTTCACCCAAAAATGAAAAAACATTTACTCATTCTCATTTTGTTCCAACCAACATCCAAAGATGATTTTTTGAAGAATGTTGGTAACCAAACAGTTTTAGTGACCAAAAAATATCTTCTTTTCAATATTCACTTTTTCAAATGTCATACAGGTTTGGAATGACATGAGGGAGAATATATAAACTATCCCATTAGACCCACACCATCAGTCTCGGGTACACCCAGATGCCCATCTAAATGTTTTTACCACTGCAGAACATTTGTAGTATCTTCATGTAATATACATAAACCATGAATTTTAATATACGAAGTACGATTGATGACAGGAACCATAACATTTCCATTTATGAGCTCTTACCCTGCGTCTGGTCGATGTGGCCCAGGGTTTCTATCTGTTCAACGAGATCATTAGAGTTCCACTGACTCATGCCCAAAAGCATGGCTGTCTTCCCCTCCAGCACCTCTGAAAGAAATCACACACAAACACACATTCAATGAGAGCAGCATATGATGAGGATGAGACAATCAATCATTTAGCTCATCGGCAGGATAATGCTATGCTCATTTCAGCTGGAATGCAGCAGTACATCAAAGACTATTAACATTCATCGAATTATCTTTAAATACAGCTAGAGCCATAAAGTGATGTTCGTCTAATGAGCACAGAGCGAACGATCAACCACTCCGCCGGTACTTGTGAGACAGCCCCTGAGTGCTTGATGGAGGACTCGGCTGTGTGGTTCACAGCGTGTGACAGCAAACTGCAAGCCCAATGCCATGTCGGATCTCGCTGGGCCAATATTTCAGTGTGGAAGAGAGGTTGTGACAGGGCTCTGTCAGGACTGCTCGTCTGCGCCACCCGCTTGAGCCCATCGGCCGCTGTTTGTTGCATGCTATTCGCTAGACTGTCAATTGAATTGGTTTTTGAGTTGGCTCAAACAAGAGTATACAAACATACACATGCACGCTCACAGAAACAATGTGAGGGAAGCTCGGAGTTGAGAGATGAAGGGTTTTAAATCATAATCCAAATACTGGCAGTTACTGAGTCGTGTCAAATGGAACGGCGCTTAGAGAGAGCAGGAAGAACATAGATCTTCTGAAGTGTGAAATGTGCTTAGCACAAAGAAGAGCAACGACAGCAGCCCGGCTCCTGAAGGAGGAAACAACCACCTATTTCACTAAATAAAATATAAACTGCTAACGCACAAGGGTCTGCCGCAAGGCTCACTGAGAAAGGATGACAGCAAAAAGTGGGAGTTAAAAGGAGAAAAAGAGAGAATAAGAACAATGTACTGTAAAAATGTGGGAACGTGCTTTCAGAAAGAAAGTGGATGAGCTTTGCAGAAGATTTCATTTTAAAGTATTCAGTGTAATCTGCACAATTATGAAAAAAGTTCATGTTATGTACATTAAATTATTGGATACTAGTTACTATGGAAGTTAGGGATGTGCAAAACTACTGACTTTTATGGTTTTTATGAAAAGACGTAACAAAATGCATTTTTAGGGTTGTCAAAGTAACATATAAAAAATATTTATTTAGAAAACCACCTTAGACTTGAATCAAATTTGAAAATATTTATCTTCAGATTTATATATCTAACATTAAAACAGGGCAGAAAAGGATCAAGATAAACAGTTAAAATAATAAAAAGTTTATATTTATAATAAAATATAATAATTACATTACATTTAAAATAAAATTGTAATAAAATAAATATTAAAATTACTTGCTTTAGCTTCAGTACAGTAAGAATATAAGAGTCAAAACACACAGTATTAACTTGAAACATCACCTTAAAACACAATGTAACTCATGATGAAAAAAATGACAGCCAAATCTGAATTTGTACACAGATCAACAATTTAAAAATATCACAGAACAATGTGCAACACTTCAATAGACTAACAGACAGAGATATTCAGCAAATAAATTCTCTTTTATTATACAAAACTATCATAGAGCTCAAAAAACAGAGCTGAATTGCGTAACAACTGGAACGCTGCTCACAGCAGGAGATCTGAAGTCTGACCATAATTGCCCTGAAATGTATTGTTGAAGGCGGAGTGTTTGTTAAACAAGCCGCGCTTGATGCCTGTAGCAGCAGTGCTTTAAAGAGAATGAATTTAGGGAATGAAGAAACTTCTCAGAGAATTTATTCTGCTGACAGTCTAACAGGAAGTGTAAAACACTGCCAGCAAGATAAATCAATTTCTAAGAAGTTCTCTCTTGATTTACCCCTTTAAAAGCACATTTATAAAATACTAAAACAAAAGTTTTACTATTTTAAGTAGTCAACCTCACTAGACAAACATCCTGACCTATCTCTAATGAAGGTGTATAAAACAATCCCTGAGTAACTCAAAATTGTTTCACAAAAAAGTGCATGAAACAGTGACTGAAAGGAGAAAAAGAAGAAAGACAAGCAAAGTGCATTAAGGTGGGGAAACATTTTGATTGGAGGTTATTAAAAGAGATTTTAAAAAAGGAATTTTTTTCACGAATTCTAGAAAGACCTGATGAGGTAATGAGTTCATGGAGGCCCAGAGCTTATCCATTAACATTCTTCAACTCTTCTTTTACTTTTAAATACAGACAAAGATAGGCATCAAAGGACATGTCCGTGTAGGCTGAAAGATGGGCAAATACTGGTGGATTTCAGCTGATCCTATTTCCAATTCTCTCCTACAAACATCTTCAGTATATGAACCAAATTTGCAACTCAAGCCTGTCGTGAGTCTATATTTTCCTTGTAAATTACATTTATGTGTACTTTCAAAGCAAGATCATGTTATTGCAAACCCATATGACTTTCTTTTTTCAGTAGAACACAACAGGAAATGTTAGGCAAAATGACAGCCTCTGTCACAATTCACATTCATCGTATGGAAATAAAATGCAAACCTATAGTCAGCTTCATTAAAAGTTAAAAGTAGTAAAACAAGGAGCATTTTTCCATGACCAGAATATGACCGTAGATGCCTGTGGCTGTCTAGAGGCAAAGAACATAAGACAGCGTTGTCTGTCTGACACAGTTTCAGGAAAACAGGCTTTTCCTGGAAAATCTTCCAAATGAAGGCCCATATTTGGTTATGAAAATCACACGTCTTGACCTTCTTCCCAACACTGGGGTTTAAAACTCCAACTCAAATACGAAGAAGAAATGTCTTTTTCTTATGCGATTGGCTGTGACAGTTTTGTAACTTGGACACGTATCTATGTATGCCACAATTTAACATTTAACAAACCAACGTTGCATATGAATTCAAATAAAAGACAAGCTGTCAACTCTCAGATGGCTAATGATATTCAAAAAATCAATACTGATGCTAAGATGCTGCTGTTTTCAATTAACAGGGTCTTTATATTAAAATGTAAGGTAACATGATTTTCAGATATGCTTTATAATCTGACAGTGGTTATAAATAGCCAGTTTCTTAGTTGATTTGTCAGTGCAGATGAATCTTGTGTACAAAGGGCCCAGGGCTACCCGACTACAGAGAGCAATCAATGCAACAGAAAAACACTTCAGCTCAAAATGCAAAGCCAATTAGCATTAAGAGTCACAATGAATGACTGCGAATGCTTACAGCAATCTGTCTCCAGCTGAAATTTACACAGTTTTAAATGAGGGTCCAATCTTACTCCAGGCTGTACAAATGGGCTCTGTTTAAGCACACTCTGACAAATCTCATTACTCAAATGCACACGCTCCAATAACAGACCTGAATGAGCCTCCTTAGACATTTGCCAACATGTCAGTTAAAAACGATTCTGAACGCACTCATTCATAATCTAAACAGCTTTGTCCTTAAACACCCCATGACAACACTTTTCCAGCACAGTGTGAAGTATTTGCTATTAAAAGTTGGTTGGGACAAATTGATTTGGATGAATGGATGAAATTTCAGCATCCATTTGCATTTTCAAGTTTTACTTGCATTTGGCGCTTAGGCCCTGGTCCCACGTCTCAGGTTGCATTCTACAGAGAGACACTCCATGATGCGACTTGAAGGAGATCAACCCAGCGGATATGAGAGGCATGAACAGGGCAAGTGAGAGTCTGACACGCGTGAAAGGGGCTCATGTGTCACGGAGGTGAAGGCAGGCTGACAAAGCTGGAACCGTGATGAGCCTCAATTTCCCTGCCGCTCGGCGCTCTGATCATCTGTAGCGCACACTGACTGACAGGGGTCAATCTCACAGGTCAGTGAAGAGGAGTCAACAACAGCCAGTCGCAGAGAGTATCCACACAGACCTGCATAGACGTATATCCACACACACAACCTCTGTGATTTCACAAACACACCTTTGCAGTGTCGCTCACACAAAAAGCCATTAAGTTTGCACTCCAAGCCTGAGCCAAAACACTTGACTGTGCCTCTCCTGACAAAAGTGATTGCTAAACAAACCCTCAGCCACTAGAAAACAACATTTAAGTGTGTACAACATTTCTTTTGTCATTTCTGAATTCTCACAGGTCACAACAAGTCTACAAATGACACTCAGTGGAGACAATTATCTACAATGCTTAGTTTGAATCATGACAAATTTAATTCTTTAGAAAACTACATTTACTAGGAGTAGAAATAATCTCAATTTCAGAAGGACTACACAACCTTTTATTTATTTTTTACAATAATTCCTATCTCATATGACTACACTACCTTTCAAATGTTTGGGTTCAGTAAGATGTGTTTGAAAGGAGTCTCTCATGCTCACCAAGGCTGCATTTATTTGATTTACTAAAAAAAAAAAAAGATTTTCTTTAAACTGACTTTATTATATAAGAAAAGCTTTATTTGAAATAAAAATCTTTTTAAAATTTAAATGTATTTACTTCCACTTAGTTTAGGTCAATTTAATGTGTCCTTACAAAATAAAAGTAATAGTTTCTTTAAAAAAAAAACACTGACCCTAACCTTTTGAATGGTAGAATATTTCAAAACTACAATTCAAACTAACTCATTGATCACAGCAGGAGAAAGCAAATATAATCACCTTTATTTATAACTATATTGAAATAAAGTTTGGCAGTCACTGTCATAGTCATTAATAAACAACTTGGTGTTGGTCCCTCTGTGCCTGCAGCCTTGGTCATCCTCTCAGCATATTCGCTATAATGCACTGTGACAGTATAATACATTTCTTCAAAGTGCCTTTAAGGCAAGTCCTTTCAGTCAGTGGTCATCTTGGTAATGCACTTGGGCAGTTATTTTCTATGTGGGCAATAGTGTCACCATACTGTTCTAGAGTAAACAAACCCTCCCATTATTATCATTCAAGAATAATGCTAATACAAAACATTTATTTTGACAGCTGCTATATTAAGCGTCATGATTTCTCACTTTTCTCGATCATTTTTCTACAAGTGATCTCGTCTTTCATGCTAAATCTTCTCTAAGCTGAGAAAAAAAACTACTATAGTGTGAAAACCCTTTGCATCAATCAAGCTCATATATACACTGCTTTTCTAATTTTGGGGGTTGGTAAGAATTTTTGAATGTCTTTGAAATAAATAAACAAACAAACAAAACAACCTTCCATTTTCTATTTTATTATGTATCTTATTCCTGAGGTCAAAACTGTACTTTCAGCAGCCATTATTACATTTTTTATTCCATTATTCTACATGATTGTTTGAAAATGAAAGAGATAGTTCACACAAAAATGAATATTCTGTCATTAATTACTCGCCCTCATGTCATTCCAAACCTGTAAGACCTTCATTCTTATTCGGAACACAAATTAAGATATTTTTGACAAAATCCGAGAGCTCTCTGACCCTCCATAGACAGCTTGAGGTGGATTTTGACTTGTGTGAAAAAGGGTTAATGCGAATAATGGAAGATGGAAACGCATTTGCCGAATAAATTCCTCCATGCGAATCAAAAAAGTCATGTGACTTTGCGCTATGGGATGGTAAAACCTGACTAACCAGCAGACTGATCTCGTTCCACAGCATCCGAAATATTGTTATGGTCATTCTGAAATGCCAGAGCAAAGTCTGTGGTCAAAGTATTTATGTATAATTGCCTCCCAGAACAGTCTTAAACAACTGCGTTCCCAAACAGCAGGCATCCACCTCCAAAAGCAATGACCACATTTATTTTGTTTCGTCTGCTCGCTCTGAGGCGCAAGTAATTTAATTATATATGAAAATGATTATATTCAGTGGCTTCTCCTACGTTTCTTAGTGATTTACAGAGCCAGTTTATCAGGAAGTGAAGATTTTGTTCTCTTTGATTTGTTGGATGGAAACAGTGCTTGTTCACAAATGTTTTATGCGATATTACAATTTTGCGTATAAGTTAAATTCACAACTTTGGATGGAATCTCGGCTACTGTCAGTTTTGATGAATTTGATTTTTTTTTTTAAAAGTGCAACATTTTGAATGGTAGTGCATATAACAAAAATGCAAATTCATCTAAACAAAGCCTAATGATGGAATATAATAAAAACCAGCCAAAAACACATTAGGGAACTATCTGGCATGTTCCCCATTCCATCCCGCTGTAACATCTGGACTTTAATTGATGTTCTGTGTTGTGTGGTAAAGTGGGGGGGCTCATTAAGAATGAATGAGAAATGTGTCTCATGAAAGTTAGATGTGGAAACATGCAGGATACTGATTACATTATACACTGCTACAACCCACTCTTACATTTTTACTAATGTGGGGTAGACAGACACAAGAGCTCATGTGAATAAATTATAAAGCTGAATAATTTCATTTTGAACACCAAATCAAAGTAACTAATTTGCAGATGCGACTCAAGAGACTATGTGATCTTGTTCGCACCTCTAATGGAGAATCCCCTGTTTTAGTCACACCTCCATTCACTGACCAAATGTTAGCAGCTGCTCTGGGACTCGACTGCCACAGGTTTGAACAGCACATAGTATGGTGCAAAAAACAGCACCTTATCTTCCTAATACACATTTTTCAATGTATGATTTAACCATGCATGTTATTCCAAATACAAACATCCTGTGTCATAAGATGTTTTTGTTTTGTTTTTGTTTTTTTTGGTAAACTAGTATGAAATAAGTCACATTAGTGAAAACAAAATGGGTTGCTTGAGTACAAAACTTATCCTCACGTTGCATGGTAAGTTGCTTTGGATAATAGCGTCAGCTAAATGTAAATGCTCCCTATAGAAAGTGTAGCATCTGGACCAATCAGACACACCATTTTTCATTTGATTTAACAAATCAATTATTCATTAGATTAACAAATAATCACAGACCCCTCACCCAATAAACATGCTGGGTGCCAGGATGTCTGCGAACGACCACAGGCCACTGGTCACCATGGCAACCACGACATCTTTTGCTAGACCAGATACACTTTACGACCTAATGGCATGTTGAGAGTTCATCCTTTCACTACATTTTCCATAGGAAAGACAAAATGCACAGTAAAAATGGACTCTTCTCTAATTAATTCATAGGAAAACCTTTCTTTGAATGAACACACATATCCTTCAGGTCACTGTGTATGTTGTTACTGTCCTTGTATATTGTCTCTTATATTGTATACTGTTTTATGCAGGCTTATGATAGAACCACTCGTTCATGTCATCTTACCTATATGTAATCCTACCATGTTTAGTATCTATGAATTCGTCTTCTGATGATCTAAACGAGAG